TCTTTCATGATCCTCCAGCTGTTCCACAACAAACCTTCAAACACAGGATAACATTTAGAAAGAAAAGCAGAATTATTAGATATTTCAATATTATTGCATCAACAACTAAGAAACACTTTGAGTGATAAAAACTATCAACAACACGAGGCTTTAGAACTGTGAAGTCTGAGACGCTTACAGCTTCATTCGCTTTGGATTTACCCAAAGACGGGGTTGACTGGAGCTATTCAGAGGTGGCAAGATAAAAGAGTTGATGGAAGCGCAGTCAATTCTAGACTGTTTTCATATCTACTTCATCTCAGGTGGTTTCGCAGCAGGTCACATCTAGTATGGTACTAATTAGCCTGCTCCTGAGGCCAGATCTGTTCTGGGTGCTACAACCACGGATCAATACTCCTGACAGAGAAAACTAACTTTTTAAAAAACACTTTTTTCAGTATATATATTCAGGTCTTCTTTGTATTGACTCAACGTAAGAACAGTCAGACGCCACGCATTTGAGGTTTTTTTTGAGAGAACAGCATTGCCGGCCCCTTCAAATTTCATTTACGAACAGCAAGACGCAAGAATCCCACTGAGAAGTCACAGTGACGGCAGAAATATAATCAAAGTTAGGTTTTCTGGTGGATTTGCAGAAATCTGCTTTCATCAAGTCTTTCGAGATGCTTGAGTGGAGAGAGTAGAGGAGACATTCAAGGCAAAGGAGGGGGTCAAAACATATATAAATCAAGAAATGGTGAAATATATGAAAGACAGAAAAAGGGAGTGGCACAAGCAAAAAGCATGAGCCCTTCCTTTGACAGATGTATGATCTAGATAATCGCAGAAAGAACTTTGGTTTAAAACATGAAAAATGGATAGAAAATTTGGCATTTTGGGGAGTTTTAGAGGGGTAGCATGACATATTTAGATCTTAATAGCATGTATCTGGCAACAGGTGGGGGAAGAACAGTCATTGTGTGAACTGTAAGCTGAATTGCAGAACATGCATGAGATTTAGTAGAATACACGAGTGTCACTGGGAAATAGGGTTTGTTTTGGCAACCAGGAGAACAGACTTTTTATAAGCTGGTGAACACAGAGCTGGAGGGGGAGTTGTCAAAGTGCCAAGATGCTCCAGTTTCAGGGGAGCAGAGTTGTAATGACATAAGAGAAGTGTAATGTGGGTTGTCAAGCATGCAGCATGCTTGCCTTGATATAATGCAACTCTGGCAACACCCCCTGAACCCTGAGCAAGGGCACAGACGGTAAAACATTTAATAGCATCAGAGATTAGTAGAGTCATCAACAGAGTGAAAGAGACTAGAAAAGTGAGCGAACAGGAAACGCTGGCAAGAATGCCATGTATGTTTCATATGGAACAAATCGCACACCAGTACACAATCAATTACTGCTTCTCGTCTCTTTCTTGCTCCTCATCTGGCTGTTTTTTTCCTCTGATACAAGACAACAAATCAATCTTGTCAAAAAAAATGTATTTTTTTTTTTAAACAGCAAGGAAAATAAGCCAGCAAATTTATTATGAACATAAAACCAAGCAGAAATGGCTCCCAGGCTCTCTGTGCTCACGTTTTGCCAAGTTTCTCAGTGGGAGTGGGGAAAGCAATGCGTGAGGTACAGGAAAAGTGCTCAAGACATCAGGATTCTATTCAGAAACAATGCAGAAAGTGCCCCATGCTGACACTTCTTCATGCAAAATGTAACCACAGTGTGCCTCTGAGGTCAGGTCACAAAACTGAGAGAAGGGCAGTGCACAGGGCTAAGATAGTGTAGCACGGGTGGAATTACTTTCTCTGGCTGGACCAAAGGTTACAGCGGTAATAAAAACATATGCAGATGTGCACACATAATCACATACATAAAATCAGATACTGATCATATCGGTATGCACATCCACTAGGACACGGCTATGCCTGGAGCCTTGATTTCCTCCCAGGGGATGAAACAAAAAAACATTATGGCTTACAAATTAGAAAGCCCTACGGTTTCATAACAAAAGCATGTGTGCTTTTCTTCAAATACTGTAAGTAACTATGGTTTGACTTTGAGCTCAGCGTAGTATCTGTTGTGTTTCAAGGGGAGTCAGGGTGGCCACCATAGTCAAAACTCCGGGAACTATGTTCAAGCACAATGTTGACCTCAAAGAGTCATCAAACTTTGTACAGATGCAAATTCATCAGGTAGGCTTAAATAGGATAAGGAGGAGAAACCACAGTCAGTGGAAAACACCTTATCAGAGCTGCAGCGATAAGAGTCATATGAGCTCACTCGGTGGCATTCTGCTGGTGTTAAAACCAACTGTGCAAAACGAATATATCAATTTTAAGCTCCTGATAAAAAGACCGACTCTAGTGATTTATCTGGCTCCTTTCATTTTGAAAGATAAAAGATGAAATTAACCAGCAAACTCCCTGATTATCAAACTGTATTCCTGCCCAGCAGGCATCACCCCAACTACCTATTCTTCATTTTCCTTTGATTACAGATGTGGCTAATAAAAATCACAGTGGAAGTCCCTGTGACGAGAAATCCAAGAGTGACCAAAACACACAAAAAGCCAGGCCAAAGAAACAGAGAATAGCTGACCTCTGACGTAGCTTAATGTAGCTAAGCCATAGCTGATGAGCGGGGAAAAAAAGTCCCATTAACAGAGAACAGACTAGACTAGATGCAGCTGTGCTCAGCAGTGGCTGATCCGAGGCAAGATGAATGATTACGATCACCTGCACTGCAAAGCGCAGTAGAGCTGACGTAACGTTTCATTGTCTGCACATATATTTGTGTGCGTACCTTTGCTTCTGGAAACGATAACCTAAGTAAGATAATGGGATACGTTAGGTAGGTATTAATATGGTTAAATTAAGATGCCAGAGAATTACTGTAAGTCAGTGTGTAAGCTGTGTATATGTGTGGACAGTGATGGGGGCACATTAAGGACTGTGGAAATGATCTGAAGCAAACTAGGGCACTATCATGGGCCACAGGCTAATGAGCTCACATGTTTTAGAGCCAACGTCATATCACATGGTTTAACTAAAATTTTCAGATTAACATGCATCTTAGAGAGGTGGATGAAAGATATTAAACAAGGATTTCAAACACAGATGAAAAGGAAATGAGGGGGGAGGACGAAGATAATTATAAGTTGGTTAACCGGGCAGCAGCAGGAGGTTTAGTGAATGATATCAAGATTAAACATGCCTGTATTAGCAAATTAGCAAAATTTCTCGCATTAGTGTGGCCGGCGATCTAGAAATGGATGGTGTGCACTCTCATTTCGTTTCCTAGCTTAGTAGGAAAACTGATATGAACGCGAGTTAGATTACAACAAAGGTTACCATGAGCCACTTCACAGTAACACTGCTCTGCACAAAGCTATGCTGTTCAAAAGCACCAGAAACTCCATGCCCCTCAAGTTAATTTGGCACTTTTAAAAAATAGTTTTAAAAACAAAAACTTTTTTGAGTTACACTGAAACAGATGTTTTAACCAATAAACAAGCACAAGCATACATGTGGAACATGTTAAGTATGAAAAATGATTTGAAATTAATTGAAATCTTACCTTGCATGTGCTTCTGGTTGTACACAGAAATATTTCCAGCAGAGTTTTGAGATATTTGTACGTCAGCCTAAACCAGGGGTGAGCAACCTTTGGGACCCAAAGAGCCATTTGGAGCCGGTTCCCACGCAAAAGAAAACACTGGGAGCCGCAAATACTTT